ACATGACTGACCATGCTTCAAGTCTTAGACCTGGTGGCTTGCTTTCTCATCTCTTGCTCTATGTCTCTCTCTCTCTCTGGTCAAATTAAACTAATAAATAAATAAAATTAAATAAATAATTCTTTAAAAAAACTTTGTATTTATTTCCCCAGTCTTTCCTTGCCTGCATTATTTCCAATGAGATGTCTGATACTAAGGTGATATCAGGTAATCTTTGTAAGTTACTGATGATTCTCTCTTGTTAATCTTAGTGTCTTTGTCTGTGGTTTTGGCCAATCTGGCTGTGATGTGGCTTGGAAAAGATTTTTTTCCATTGATTCTATTTGGGGTCCTTTGTATTTCATGGGTCTGGATTTTTGAATGTCTCTCAAAGTTAGAATGTTTTCTTCCAGGATTTAATGCAGTAGATTATTGATACCCTTATTGTATTCGTCACCTTCTGTGATAGCAATTATCTGGATATTTGGGCGCTGAATGGTATGTAGTATTTCTTGTATATTGTCCTCATTCTTCCTAGTTATTCTCTCAGAGTCTTTTTGATCATTTTTTCCTAAGTCAGAGATTTGCCTTCTACATTCAAGATTCTGTATTTTGTGTGGTCTAATCTGCTTTCAAAGGGGGTTTTATTTTCCTCTATTACAGTATTCAGCTCTAACATTCTGATTCATTCTTATGACGTCTGGGTCTTTGAAATTGTGAAAGGACTTCTTCCTCTCCTAGAGCTCATTGTCACTTTTCTCTTGTGTCTTCTGAAGTTGTCTCTTTTCTCTTGCCGCTCATTTACTTTTGTCAATATCAATTTACTGAATTGTTTATCTCACATTTTTGTGAGTTCCATTGTATTGCCTGTGGATTATGAAGAATTGATACTTTCCTTTGGGGGAGATTTTTTGTTTGTTTGTTTCTCATATTTCTTGGCCTCTGTGATGGTTTCTAGTCATCAGGTGAATTATACATTTCTTACTAAATTCTTCAAGTTAATTCTGAGTGTTCAGTGTGAGTAGGAGGACATGATTGGCAACCTCTCTGATGTGCTCTACCTCCCTAATGCTCATTCAGCAACATGTCTTAGGATTTGGACAATTCAGTGTCCTCCCAGTTTCTAGAAAACAGGTGCATGAGGGGCATTCAATTGATGAGTTTCAATTGAAGAAGAGAGTACGGGACTTGCGTACCATGGGCTTCTCAATCACTGAAGTCTGAGCATTCAGAGATGTGTGGCAGGGGATAAACTTCAGTCTGTCTGCAGTTCAGTGCCCCTGCCATTCAGTGCAGCCAGGCTCATCACTAGGCAGATGTCCCAATGCACAGGTACCATGTACACATCCCATTGTACACACCTGAGGGTGCCAAAGCTTGTAGGGGAGGAGTTGAGCTACTCTCTTCAGCACCCCTCTGCAACACAAACAGTTTACTGTGCACGTACAGCAAGGCTTTCTGTGGCAAATGTTCTGATGGTATGGAGGCTGGGGCAAGACAATCTTCTCTAAGTCCCAGTGAACTCACCTGAATTCTTAGGCATGTGTGGGAGGGGATAAGCCATGGTCTGTGGCACCCCTAACAGCTGCAAATGGCTCACAGTGCAGCAAGGCCTTCTGGGGGGCTGATGTCTGGATGACACCAGGGTTGGGGCAAGATGGACTTCTCCAAGTTCCAGTGAACACACCTGAACAAGTCATGTGTCCATATTGTAAATTAAAAAAAAATTATTTATGTTAGTATGTTAATGCAGTTGATGTAGTATGTATGTTGCTATTTTAATTTTTTTCCAGGTATTTTTTTGCATTTTTTGCATATCTTTTATTGTTTGGTATAATAAAGAAAGTTGGATTTTTTTTTCCAATTTATTTATTTGCATTCATTCACTGTACATCATTACAGCACACAAAATGAGATTTTCCACACAGAGTACACTGTATATTGTCTCAATCAAGCACATCAACAAACATGTTATTCTTAGCAAATGATCTTCCATTTCTTGTTTTCTGTATGTTTTGCTTTTTTCCCCACCTCCTTGGTTCCCTATCTCTTACCCTCTGCCACCTCCTGTTCTCCTCCCACACTTTCTCTGTTATCTATGTTTGCTTTCTATACCATTTTCCCCCCACATTTTATTGAATCACCAAAGACCCTCATCAATCCAAATACCCTCCTAGCAAACACATGTGACACATTTCCATGAGCACAAGTCTAACTTTACGCATCCTATCAAGTAGCACCTAACTGGGGCTACATATCCTACTGCAGTCATTGAATAGATATATTTTTTTTTCCTGAAACTTTTTTTTGTAACTCAATTTACATTCCTTCTCTAGGCATCATCACAGCACACAAAATGCGATCTCCCATCCAGTACACACTGCATAGTGACTCAATCATGCACATTACAAAAAAAATAAATTTCCAATTCTAGTTGTTAGAATTATTTCCACCCCTTTTTCTGACCCTCTGTCCCTTCCCACCCTCCTCTCACACCACCTCCAGTGTCCAAAATTGTCCTCCATTCCCTTCCCACCCACATTGCATTGATCACACAATTTCCTACATAACCTGACTACTTTCAAAGGTGAGTTCCCTCGTTACTACTAAGAAAACCAGTTTTAACTTAAATCAAAGAACC